TATCTTTTTTTTTATTACAATATAAAATTTTTTAATCGTTCATAATCTCAATTTTATTAAAATTAAATATGAGATAGGGAACCGTTTTGTTTCATTACACGATAATTAAATTATGAACATCGTTACGCTTGCAGTAATTAATAGCCGAAAAACATTAATCCAATAATTATATTAAATAATATGCAATGAAGTAATTGCAAATGTTTTCCGATAACGTGTATCATTATTATTCTGCAAAATTATAAAATACACAAAATTTATGTGTACTTGCGCGCGCGTTATCCACATTGAAATGTCAATATTGGCTGACAGAATTGCGAGGTATAGACCTCGTGAAATCGCCAGTACCACGCGGAAAATTTATCGAATTACATTCTATACTTTCGGAACTGGAATACCTTGTATTTCTTGTTCGACCGAAAGGGGACACAGTGTCTTGCTACGATAAATGCTCTCGTTTACCAAAGCTTTAACGTCGGGTCAAAGGTCTGCTTCCCGTCTGTACAAAACTTTTCACCCTCCTTTATTCTCTTTATTTTTTTGTTGGAAACCACTGTCAAACACAAAGTTCCTCGATACGGTAACTCAGGCAGCCCGTCGCGATACAGCCATTGGTATTCTTGGCGAAAAATATGACAGGTTGGATATTTACGTCTGTGGCGTCGATAAGAAGACTTCGAAATAATTTTGTCTATTGGATTAAAGCGAATGCTGCATTATACAATACAGTGTATGATTGGTTATATTCCAATTTGAAATAAATAATTTTATCAATCATAAAAAATAAACTAACATTTCATAAAAAATCGTCGAAATCATCATAAGAAAAAGAATGGTTTACAATCGTCATAACTCAAAAAAGATGATAAAACAAAAATGATAAAAATAACACTTGATTATATTAAGAATACATTATTTTTGTGCGATATTACGAGAACAGTTAATAATTTTTTATCATTGAATATTTTATCATATAATTTTTATCATATTGAATAATGTTTTTTTCCCTTTTCTAGAAAACTTAATTTTATTATTATGCCATTTTTTAAATAAAGGGAAAAACAATATATTATTGTTTATTATAATCAGAGTTGGGTAGTAACTAGTTAAAACGTTAAAAGTTAAATAAAAAAGTTAAAAAGTTGATAATTTTTAACTTAACTTAGTTAATTTTAAATACATTAATTTTTAACTTAATTTAGTTACTTTTAAACTTTAATTAATTTATTAACTTTTTTAAATTAAAAATTTTTCTATCTGTTCTTGATGTAATATTTTTTTTTCTATAAAGTCTTAAACATTAGAGAATTAATTTAAAAAAAGTTCAATAATTTTATGATGAGAGACTCTATAGTAAGAGTCACACCATACGATAGCCAGTTTTTATTGACTCGCTAGAGTTTTGTCAATTCCCGTTTATATTTGAATCAAACTAATTTTAGGTATCACAAATAATGAAATTATATTTCAGCAATATAAATATGAAATGAGCCTTAGATGAAGAATTATTATAGAATAATGTTGCACCTATTTTCTAAATTTTTATGTATATATTTGTAACAAATATCTAGTCGATGTAGTCGTAAACATGCATGAACAGTCGTTTCAGAAATTAAAGAAAGTTAGATAAAGATTAAGAAAGAGAAATAATGCAAACATATATCCTTCTCTCTCGCAAGATTTTGATAAAAACGCCTTATGCCGTGATCTTATTATATATAAGTAACTAACATATGGATATAAAATTAAATTTGCCTAATAATCTATATTTGTAAGGGTTATTTAAAGTCATCTCATTTTAAGAAAAATTAGAACATTCTGATCTCAAAAATAATTTTTTTCAAAATTAACTTCTTTTTAAACTTAAGTTAATTTAATCTTAACTTTTATTAAGTTAATTCTTTATTTCTTCAACTTTTAACTTAATTTTATTAATTTTATAAGACATTAACTCTTTAATATAATTTAGTTTAAAAAAACATTAACTTACCTAACCCTGATTATAATATATTTAATTATATACTTATTTGAGTTTTTTTCTTTTATACTATGTTTTAAAAGAAATATCATTTTATTTTTATTATTTAAAATTTATTCGAAAATACGATAAAGAAATGTTTTTCTACTTTTGCGTTACTATTATATAAAAACTTAGTTTAATTTTAATAGATCTGTTTTGTATATCTCTTTTTTGTATATCTCTGGATATAAAACATGTGATCTTAAGAAAGCAAATTCACACTACTAATGGTCGAGTTGCTTCTATCTTTTCCTCATCCACTATACTCTCTCTGACATTGTCGCGACAGTACATCTGATTCGAATATACATCCTTGCTTCGTTCTCGCCTCGTCAGTTCCGATGCAAAGGCTCGAGCCTTTGACGGTTGCAACGTGCAAATATGTGATGGAACGGGAACACGGCTGTAAAGGAGACCGATTTAAATTCCACGAGTGCAACATATAACGGCGTTCCCATTTTCACTTATCTCGCGAGCAGACTCTCTTCATCGCAACACGATGATGATCGCGATCATGTGCATTAATATACTTTTAGCAATATTACTGTTTTTGACCGATATTCATAGTCGATGCTTATATTTAACCGCTAAAGTGTAGTCTCTTAAAATGTTATATATAGGTCAGTCACAGAATCGTATTAACATTTTAAGATATTACTTAAGACGATAAATAAAATAAAATAAAAACTGGCTAAGAATATCAGTCTTCCTTTTAAGGCACATATGATAGATAAAATGTTAGTCGACTTTTGTGTCATTTATGAAAAGTCCTTGACAATGTTTGTAATCTTATACATGGATACATGACACACTTTTTTTCCATTGTTTTCCATAAACGACACAGCAATCGATCGACACTTTAGTCTACAGTGTGCGCTTGCCCAAACTAAAAACTCGCGATAAAGGTGCATTTTTCAATTAATTTCAAATGGGATCTGAATGGATCAAATGGGTCTAAATTTCAATAGAACTGGCTCTATATTTCTCATAGGACGCGAAAGAAGAATATATTCGTGCAATTGTTTTGTAACATCTTTTGTGAAGGAAAAAAAAGGAAACCGAGAGAATGATGTGCAATTTCACTGGTGAAAACGCGATGGGAGTAAAGGCACGTTAATTGGCGTTCATCTGGAAAAGGTTTACCAACGGTTGGAGTGTCTACAAGCTCGTAGCAAGGACGTGTGAAATGTCGGCGAGTCAGAAGGGCTAGGGGAGCTAATTACCCCGCAGGAAAAATTCCTTGGCACATGCCGGCTAACGGCGAATCCCGAGGTGACGCGTACTATCCCGTTGGCGTTTTCATAACTTTTCAACAGGATGTTAATTGGATTCCTTTTTCTCTTCTTGACTTCTGTCTCCTCTCTCTCTCTCTCTCTCTCTCTCTCTCTCTCTCTCTCTCTCTCTCTCTCTCCTCTACTCCCGTTGTCGTATATGCTTGCTCGATGGTGGCTTACTTTATTTCGAATTTATTACGTTGCTTAATTGCTGTTTTATGATTCTTTTGTTGGCGCGCTGAAAATGCCCGTCACGTCGAACGACAACGAGAAACGTAGTTCAGAAGTATAAGGCATAATATTAAAACGAATAATTTGAAAAAAAAAAAGTTTTAAAAATCGCTCTAATTAAAATTTTTGCCAGAGCTTATGATAACTTGAGGTAGACAAGATGACATTTTAAATCTATGCATTTTAATTAAACCTTTTTACATGAAAAGATGGTAAAATCGAAATTTTGTTAAAACGTTCAAGAAGTCAAATTTTACAAAAATAAAAGTCACAGTAACATCCAATAATAATAATTGCAAATTATATATTACGCAAATATATTCTTGACCGACATGTATGTACGATAAATCGGATTTATTGGATTACGTTATATAAAAGTGACAAATATGTAATTATCGCCGATGCACTGGATTGCAACCTGTTGGCCACTTGCCATATTTTCTCAAACATCAAATGGCTTTAATATCAGTAAAGGTTCCTTTCGGCGACCTCGAACAATGAGTCTCAAGTTGATCCTTATAACTCCCGCCTTAAGCACTCGCAATACCTTACGATGGTTTTATAAGAGTAAAGTTGCGAAAGTACGGCGACACGTAACTTTAAGGCGGTACTTATACGAAGCTCATAAAACTTTCGTGTCATTTTTAGCATAATCGCGATACACGTCGAGTAGTTCGTGTTCGAGCGGCTAATTGGGTATTAATGAAAACGTACAAGAAGAAGCTCTGGCAAAGTTACAATTGGCTCCGGCTACTTGGAATAATCTTTCCGAACATTTTCTCATTACTACGTATAAGAATAAGGAAACTGAGCAGAGGAGTTTCTGCGACATTGCATTTCGAATAATAACGCAAATCCAAGATGGAAATTGCCAAATTCATATCTGGCTCGTTGCAACCGCAACACACTAATGTTTATTGTATATGCAGTTACAAAACCCTTCCAATTTCCATCTTGGATTTACATTACGATCCATTGTAAAACGTGATTGTGTGCAATTAAACTTCTTCGTATCTAAAAGAGCGTGTAATTTAAACGAAGCTATTCTGCTTAATTGAATAACAAGAACAATCACATGTAAATGATGTTACTTTGAAGTGATGTTAATTACGCTAAATTGC